ATTATACAAATATTTTTTTAAGAGAATGATAAACTCAAAAAAATAAATAAATATAAATGAACACAAAAGCTTGGAATGGAAAGTAAAGAGTCCTGGCCCACAAGAAAGAAAAGTCACCTAAGTTATGAGTGCCTGTAAGACAAGGCAAAATGAAAACCATAATGACCAAGAAATGTTTTAGTAACTTAGTACTTGCTACTATGATTTTCGTGTTTGACAATGCCCAGAATAGTTGGTGAATTGGGCCCTATTAGGTTAATTTGCAGGTGACGACATTAAGGGATCTCATCTAACAGTTTAATTTTTTTTTTTTTTTATAAAGACCTTTAGGCCGAACCAGGGGTTACAACCAATCCTTAGATGTCCAAAAGAGCTCGGTGGTGCCAAATTCCACTCCATATTCTAAGGCTCCGTTTACTTTTTGGCAAGTTATTTATTTAGGTAAATGTAACAATTTAGGTAAATTTTTTTTAGGAAACACTTACCCGAATAAGTATATTTATTCATGTTCTTTTATTTTCTAGTTAAATAAAGTAATGTCCATTTTAGCCATAGAAATTCATTATTAAAAGGGGTATTTTGTCCCATTCAAGTGTTGGCAACTTTCCCCCCATGTGGAAAAGTTATTTATCCATCTCGGAGATAGGTATCACTTTCCTGGGTAAGTGGTACCTAGGAAAATGAACCTTCCCTACTCCCCACATAAAACTGAAAAAAAAAAAGAACATGGGGTTCTTGGTCAATGGGAACCAAAATCCCATTGGCCAACTTTCCCCATTTTCAAAAAAAAAAAAAAAAAAAAAAACGCCCCCGAAGTGGAGGAAGCATTTAAAGCTAATTAGGAAAGAAAATGGTCAATTGGATTCCCACCCTTATGCACAAATAGATCATCATAATGTGAAAGTTCCAGAAGGAGTGCCCTGTAGGTGACAATAATATTGTAAACCTGCCAATAAGGATTATCTTTTCTTAAATAGGGAATGCACCGGTATTGATCCAATAGGGTTGTCAATGGACCAAAGTATTGGTCCAATATGAGTCAATGATAGATGGACCAAGTCCAATCAAATTTGATGAGTACTTTGGACCATTCTAGACTGGTCCAATTCAATGCATGGACCATCCAATCTGTTCAAATTGGCTTTCATTTAGATTGGATCCAACTTTGTGAAAAAAGGAAGATTCGGAATGAAGGGAAAAAGTTCACTCTATTGATTTGTGATGAGAAATATTTATAGACAAAGTGCAAGTTGTGATGATGTGACGTCCCATCTGCGATGTGGTAACAAAGCAGTGCAGTTTTAACAGTTTTAATTGTTTAAAAATGATTTAACAACTTGACAGTTGTCTAAACAAACTACAACTGTCTGTTTGTTTAGACTTTAACACGCCCCCTTCAAGTTGGAGCAGGAGTGGAATTGATCGCGACCAAGCGCTTTGGTGAATATGTCTGTAGGTTGTCCCTTGAAAGAAATATGAGCTATAGTAATGGACTGTGATTGAATGAGGTCCCATATGAAGTGACAATCTATTTTGATGTGCTTGATCCGTTCATGAAAAGCTAGATTTGCCGCAATGTGCAGTTCTGCCTTGTTATCACAGAAAAGTTGCATAGGTTGTGAATGGTCAAGTCCAAGATCCAAGAATAACTGTTTGAGCCAAACCAGCTCACTCGCTGTGGCCGCCATGGATCAATATTCGACTTCTACTGAGGAGCGAAAGATAGTGGATTGTCGTTTGGACTACCACGACAGAGGAGAGAAGCCCAAGGTAGTGAAGTAGCATGTGGTCGAGCACCTTGTGGTGGGGCATCCTGCCCAATCTGAATCACAATAAGCTCTTATTGTGAAATCGCTAGAAGATGACAAGAATATCCCATGGTCTGGAGAAAATCGGAGATACTACAAGACGTGCATTCCCGCATCAAGGTGTGGTTGTCAAGGATCAAACATGAATTGACTGAGTGTGTTGACCGAATAGTTGATTTTAGGTCTTGTGATGGTTAGATACAACAACCTACCCACAAGGCATCGATATTGTGTTGGGTCCTTAATTAGAGGGCCAGTATTGGGCTGCAAATGGTGATGTTGTTCCATAGGAAATGAACTAAGTCGACAATCCGACATGCCCATGTCTTCAAGGATTCCTTTGAGATATTTTCGTTGATTTAGAAAAATGCTTTCACATGTCCTGATGACCTCAACTCCAAGTAAGTAATGGAGGGCTCCAAGATCCTTAATAGGAAAACAGTTGCCGAGATACTTATTGAGACTATCAATATCATTGAGATCATCACCAACTAGCACAAGATCATCAACATAGGCTAATACTATAAGGGAATGACCGAATTTGTGGAGGGTGAACAGAGTGTTGTTAGCTTTAGATTGACTGAAACCCCATTTCTTCAAGGCATTGGCCAATGTGTCGAACCAGTTGCAGGAGGCCTGCTTAAGGCCATAAATGGATTTGTTGAGTTTGCAAACCCGATTATCTCCTGGTGGGGGTAGTCTAGGTGGTGGATCCATGCACACTTCTTTATGCAACTGTCTATGTAGAAAGGCATTATTTACATCCATTTGATGTAGATGCCAATGGTGGGCCGCAGCAAGGGCCAATAAGCATCTCGCAGTCACCAATTTTTCTACCGCCGCATATGTTTCTGTGTAGTCTACGCCTTCAATTTGGGTGTATCATTTTGCAACTAGACGTGCCTTGTAGCGTTCGGTGATGCCGTCAGGATTTGTCTTTACCTTGAAGACCCATCTACAACCCACAGTTGACTTATTGCTGTGTAGGTTAGTCAATGTTCAGGTTTGAGTGGCTTTAAGGGCTACTAACTCGGCTGCCATTGTTTTTCTCCAGTTATCAGATTTACATGCTTGTTGATATGTGGTGGGTTCTAGGTTGGGAATACTGTTGGTGACTTTAGGTGGGTCAGGAGTGGCTAAATGAACCTTTGAAGCATGAATTGTTGGACAATCATAAATCGATAAATGTGCTGGAGGTCGACGCTCCCTCCTAGGTCAAGAGGGAATATTGGTGGAAATGCTGCCAATAATTGATATTTCAGATGGATGATCAATGGTGGGTTAAGTTGTATCATGATTGTCTGTAAGTGAATGATCACTGGACTGTAGCCATTCGGATGTAGCATCATCCGATGCTGGCAATGGTATGACTAGGTTTTGTATGCCACTAGTGGCAAAATTCTGATATGTCAACTAATCTTCAAAGAAGCGAATGTCTCACGAGACAAACAATCTGTTCTCTTCCAAACTATATACACGATATCCCTTTTGTCCATGAGGGTAACCAAGAAACACACATTTTTAGCACATGGAGCAAATTTGTCTCTACCTTGCCACAGTGTGTTGGCATAACAAAGGCAGCCAAATGTTCTAAAGTGATCATATGTGGGTGTTTGGTGATACAGTAATTCATATGGTGTCTTACCCTTCAAGACTGGCCTAGGGAGGTAATTGATGATGTAGGCGGCTGTGATAATGCATTCTCCCCATAATTGTATAGGGAGATTGGCTTAAAATCTTAGTCCTCGAGCAACTTCTAGAAGGTGACGATACTTCCGTTCTGCCACTCCATTGTGTTGGGGAGTGTCTATGTAGGAATACTGATGGAGAACGCCATGCTCATTAAAGAAATATTGCATAGGCCCTGAACGGAAATTCTTGTCCATTATCCATTCATATACACTTCACATGAGATTGGAATTGTGTTCAAACATGGTTGCAGAACATGACTAAATACATGTATGCATCAGATTTATAGTTCATCAAATAGACCCAAGTAGAACGAGAATGATCATCTACAATTGTGAGAAAGTATCTAGCACCTGACAAGGAAGAACTTTGATAACCACCCCAAATGTCTACATGTATTATCTCAAAACAACTGTTAGACTTAATAGTACTAATAGGAAATTGTAAACGAGGTTGTTTAGCCTTTAAGCAAGTGTTACAACACTGTTCATCAATATGTGTCGACAGTTGTATTGCAAGAATCAATGCCAGTTGTTCATTAGACGCATGCCCCAATCTTGAGTGCCAAAGGCTAAAAAAGGCATCAAGGTTTGAACATGCGGAGTGTAAGGCTGCCGATTGTGTAACCGGTACAAAGTGATAAACACCATCATGCATCTTGCCGAGCCCAATCACTTTCTTGGAGATCAAGTCCTGTAATACACAAAAGGTTGAAAAAAAATTGCCACACAGTTCAATTGAGAAATGATCTTGTTGATTGATATTATTTGCACTTAAAACCAGGAATGAACAAAACATCTTTCATCCATCAGGTAGATGAATTTCCCTTCCAACCATTCTGAATTGGCTTTGATCAGAAATATCTATAGCGGGACTCATGTGGTCCGAGGCACCACTATCTAGCAGCCAACATTCAGCGTTCAAGATTGAATAGGGATCCAAAGACTTACTAGAAAAATTGGAGGCTGAGATTGCATGTTTACTCGCACACAAGAATGTGATGAGTTGCTGGTATTGTTCAAAAGATAATCCAAGAACAGGGGAAGCGCCACAACCAGCCCTAGGAGCAGGAACAGAGGATGTCTGATTTAAAGAGTGTTTGGTGCTCTGATCATTATTTGCTTTGTTTGCTTGTGATTTTCCTTTCTCCCATCTTGGAGGGTACCCGAGCAGTTCATAACACTGATCCTTGCTGTGACCCTATTTCTTGTAGTGATCATAGCGAATCTTGGACCGTTCATTCTGTCTTATGGATGGGTTCTTTGAACCAGAAGAAAAGAAAGTAGTAGCTTCGGAGGTTGGAGGGCAAGAATTGGAGAACAATTGATGGTTCTCTTCTTGGGCAATCAATGCATAGACTTTGGTGACTGGTGGTAATGGCTCCATGCTCAGAATGTTTGATTGTACAATATTAAAACGACCTCCGAGGCCCATCAAGAACTGATAAACCTTTTCTTTTTCCTTTTTTGTGATGAGATCATTTGCCCCATAGGTGGCGCAAACTCAGACTGGGGTATAGACAGAGAGTTCATCCCAAATCCCTTTCATCTTTGTGTAGTATGATGCGACCGAGAGGTTTTCTTGGTGCAGAACAACCAATTTGTGTTTCAAATGAAAAATCCATGGAGCATTCCCTTGAGAAAATCTCTGCTCCAGGTCCAACCAGATTTCTCGTGTCATTTCAATGTAGGCAACACTTTGGTGTAATTCTCGTGCCAAGACATTAAACAACCACGAAACCACCATGCAGTTGCATTTCGACCAAGCTCTCAATTCCGTCAATCTGGTGAGGTCTGATTTACTTATCGTTCTGCTCACGAATTCGATCTTATTCTTGGCACTGAGAACATTGATCATTACCCATCTCCAAGTTGGATAATTTTCTCTGTTCAACAAGAATGAAACCAGTATTGCACCGGGATTATCTGATGGATGAAGAAAATATGGTGATGACAGATCTGTGAATGAATTGATGTTGCCACCGAAGCTCAATTCTGTAGTCATTTTGGCCATAGATCAGGAGACCAAGAAAAGCAAGAATGACAGAAACATTGGTTTTATCGCCTGATGATCAAGAAAAACAAGAACAGAGGAGAACGGAGGGAAGACTGATGATCAAGAACTGGGAAACCAGGGTCTTACCGCCTGGAGCTCTGATACCATGTAAAAAAAGGAAGATTTAGAATGAAGGGAAAAAGTTCACTCTATTGATTTGTGATAAGAAATATTTATAAACAAAGTGCAAGCTGCGATGAGGTGACGTCCCTCTATCTGCAATGAGGTTACAAAGCAGTGCAGTTTTAACAGTTTTAATTGTTTAAAAACGATCTAACAACTGGAACTTAACAACTTGACAGCTGTCTAGACAAACTACAACTATCTGTTTGTTTAGACTTTAACAAAATCAAACCTGGTCCATTGGCACTTGTACTCTTATCTTCTATCACTGTCAATGGACCCAATACTAGTTCAATCTGATCAAATCCAATATAATTTCAGATGGATCAGGTCCAGTCCAATTCAATAAAAGTTTAGACTGGTCCAATTCAAATATTTCGTATTGGTCCGTTCAACCCATTCAAATTGATTTGGATTCGGATGGAATCCAACTCAAACCTAGTCGATTGACACATCTAAGTATCTGCCAATCACCATCAAGAATTACTCAATTACATTTTGAATATCCAAACTTACTGCCTCCCTCAATCCGTCCACAAAATGCATAGGCTTCAGCCTCCACTAGCACTAGGGAACGGATCTAGGGGATTCGTTTTGCCCAATAATGCATAAACAAATTGACCACCTGAATCCTGAATTACCAATCCAACTATAGCTTTGTCAAGGCGACAAGCAGCATCAACATTAACTAATTTTGTAAAAATCAACAGGAGGTAGGAGGTATTGGCCAATTATGAGATGGAGAAGCTTCACCTAACAAATCACAACTTTGTGATGTATCCTTTGGGCCGGCCAATTGGTTTGTGTATTTCTGAATCATTATAGTTGAAAGCACTCATATTCTCCTTGGGTCCGGAGCAATTTTCTCAAAGATTAGACTACAATGAGCATGATCATTGTACCGATGTACGAAACCATTCAAAAAATAAGCCAGTCACATTTTTGTTGGGTTTCCATACATTGCAATAGAAGTGGTTTCTATGCATAGTTTACTTAAATCATAGAAATCAAAGGAGAAATCCATACCTTCCAATACTTAAAGAAAACAGGACTATTCCAATATATGTCATAGGCCTTTGCTATGTCCATTTTTAGCATAAACAAACCAGCTCTCCCTTTCTTCTTTCACATAGTGTGTAAGAACTCTTGAGTGATCACCATGTTCTCTGTTATTTGTTTTCATAGGACAAAGACATTTTGGTCAGGGAAAATTATCTTATGAAGGACTTATTTCAAACGAGTGGCCAGAATCTTCACCACCACCTTGTACAAGATATTACACAAACCTATAGGCCCAAACTCAACTGGTCTTTCAAGGTTCTTTTTATTGAGAATGAGAGCCAGAAATGTATGATTTAATGTAGTGTTTGGTGGAAGGACTTTCTCTGAAAGTTTGCTAAACAAAGTGAATCAAATCATTGGAAATTGCACCCCGACTAGATTGATAGAAGCTTGCAAACATACCACCTCTAATGTCTAGCTTTCATGGTATCACAACTTGTTTGACTAAGTGGTCTAGTGTCCTATTCTCATTGCTCCAATTTCACTAGGTATGGGCAGGCCTCTGTTTGTCCATATTTCAATCTCAATAGACTTTCATGTGAGGGGCATGTTAGAGAACCAAAAACTATTCAGGGATCTCACCTAACATCATAAGCTCTTAGGATGAACAGTCTCCATTTGGTTCACAGTTGGAATCGGAATCAGAATGATCTATTCCCATAATCTGTTTGGTTCAGACAAAAATTAGAATGGGAATTAGATTCAGCTAGAATGAGATTTCATTTCCAAGGGAGGGGGAGTGAATGGCCATTCCTCAAATAGGAGAATGCCATTCCACCAGGAATTAATGGGAATAAGATTCTAATTCCATCCAGCTAAACAGTTAGAATCCATTCCAATTCCAATTTCAGACCCTATTCCCACAAACCATACGGGACCTAAGAAATCGAATGAGGCATATTCCACTCCATAAGAAAAATGTTAATTTTGTCTTTGCGTGCGTAAGACCTGAATGATAGGCATTAATGTGCTAGACATAAGCGCCAACAGCATGCTTTGCTTCCCAAACTCCACAGCTACTAGTAATTTGTTTGCTGAAGCACACCATAAAACTATTCTATAATTCAACCCAGAAGGCATGACTTATCTATAGTTCATTAAAGAATAATTTCTAGGTAGGTTTGGGTGAAGTTCAACTTTTGTGTTTTTTTTCTCATTTGTTTGGAATCTAACTGAAGCAAATAAAATGATTGAAGCTGGCACGTATTTATTTTTAATTTACTTATACCTCACTCTGTTTTTCTGACAAATACTTAAATCTCCCCTGTTTTTTGACCTCCACAAAAACTTTCATATTCTCAAATAAATATTTTAATATACTAGTGTTAATTTTCTTGATGGAAAGCATTGACATGTAGCACTGCAAGTCAGGTTGTTCTATTGTTGCCCATGAGAAACTTCATTAAGATGAGGATTTATCAAATTACTGAGTGGATTCATTATTTCACTTCATCAAGTCAGCAATGAAGGCTAAATTGGGTTTGAACTTAAACCTCCCCAATTGGCAGAAATGCCATACTCAAACAATTTGAAAGGTGAACTATGGTTCGTATTCATTATGCATATTTGTAAAAGAGCACCACATCCAACTGCACATGGGTATGTTATGTTAAATTTATAGGGAGAGGTTCCTACTGTTCAGTTGGATTCCAGTGCTTTCAGACTGTTCATAGATATAATTTTTGCTTTTATAAGATACTAACAAGAGCATAAACATAATTCTAATATCTCCATTATAGGAGTTAAGAGAAGGGTTGTGCTTGCTTATTTGTTTCAAGGGAAAATTACAGGAAACTACTCTGTACTTTGGGGGTAATAACACTTAAGAGTCCATATGTTCACTTTAGACAAAGAGCTATCTTGTACTTTCAGTATGGGTGGATTCGAGCCGAGCTGAACCAAACCAAATATGTATTCATTCAAGTTCGGTTTGCTGATAAAGTATGAGGCTCTGAATTCGAATTAGAGACTTGAGCTTGAATTTAAAGCGAGTCAAATGCTTGTAAGCTCAAGTTTTACTGTGAGCCAAATGTTTTATAAAAGTAAAAAAAATTATACATATAAAAAATTATTTTTTATTTGACATATAAAAATTAAGGATTATAAAAAATAGTTATTATTATTACACACAAAAAAATAAAATTATTATTATTATTATTATTATATATATATATATATATATATATAACATTTTTATTTTATATATATCATTTTCTATATGTATAATATATATATATAATATACATGCATATATAAAAGCTTGATTAGGCTCGTGAGCCTTAAGAGTTGAGGTCAAATAGCTCGTGAAAAGGTCGGCTCGTGGCCACCCCTAACTTTCATATTTCAACACATAAGTCCAAGTCTATTAATTAACATTATAGTAAGGGTTAGTTTATCCAAATGGCCATTTGTGATTTGTTTGCATCAGGCATGTATTGGTTTCAACATTTCTTTTTTATACTTCATTAGATTATTTAGGATTTTTCTAGTTTATTTTCTATAATTTATATGTATTTAATTATTTATTTAATAATAACTCGAGGAGTTATTACTAACTTGTCCACTAGGTACATAGGAATTTGAGAATTCAGGATTGATGAACACAAGCAAGTATATTCCATATGTTGCTTCAATGCTCTATTTGCTTAGGTGCGAGAAAAAAGATAGGAAAGGTTAAAAACTAGGGTTTTAGAAATTGAATGAAGGAGAGGGCAAAATGGTTACAAGGGTGTTTTTGAGATTTTGAAATGTTTAAATACGCATATGGCATCGTGATTAAATCTTTTCATCACTTATCTGGTGGAATGCTAAGGTTGAACTTGAGTGTTGAGAATCTGAAAGTACAAGCAAAGGTTCAAAATTTTGGAGTGTATCGTATTGCATTTTTTAGTCTCTAATACACATATTTAAAAGTATTTTTAAGAAACTATCTTCTTTTGAACGATTAAAACACATAAAAATAGGCTTAACCTTGAATTTTTTAATACAAAACTAAAAAGATAAGAAATGTAAAGTTCAAAGTATCACTACACCCCTCCCTTCCACCATATCATGGTGTGTTGACATTTTGAACCTTGAATACTGTACAACTCTATCACAAGTAAAGGATAGTTCCATATAATTTTCTCTTATTCAAAAAATTAAGAGAAGTATTTTAACAGGTCAGAAAATAAGGAGGTTTAACATTTAAGTAATTTCCTTCTTTAGGCTCAATTTGTTTTTTTGGGGTCAGTGACAAATAGCCCCCATTACTTTTATATTGCAACAAAAACCCCTAACCGTTAAATCAGTTGATGAAAGTTGTTAAACTATCAAAATGCCCTCTTCAAAATTCAAGAGGTGTGAAATGAAATTTTCAAAGTAGCAAAAAAGAGAAAAGGTGTTCCTTCTTTTGTTTATTTTTCATCCATTTTCTGATTTTCTCTTAAACCCTAACCTATACAAACATATATCGCGAGAGAACCCTACACCATTCTTCATTAAAAGTTATTGCCACTATCTTGTTGACAAAGAGATGTTCAATTCATTGTCGCCGATACAGAAGAATCTCTGGTGATACCAAAAAAAAAACTATTTGCATCTTTTACACCGTCGCTAAACAAAAGGGTAGTAGAACCAATAATTTTAGGAATTTTTGAGTTATCAAAATCATGCTACCAAAGATAGAAGGGTAGCTTCGTAATTTCCATTGTGATGAGACCGAAGCTGTCAAAAGCTGCGGTCCTAGGTGTGAAGTGTAAGGAATGCAAGAGGCCGAACAAATTTGGATTTAAAACGCTTTAAACAGCAAACTGATCATGTTTGGCGCAACGGATGGGATACTAACTTCAATGGGATAACGTGCAGGGGTTATCATGGACTGGACCGGAATGGGCTTTGCACAAGGGCTATAGCCTGGGCCTGGGCCTAGGCCTGGCCCAGCCCAGGGTTCTGAAACATAAGCCCGAGCCCAGGTCTATACATGGGCTCGAGCCTAGGTCGATACATGGGCCCGAGCCTGATTCGGGCCTATGTCTTTCATATATAAAGCATTACATTTAATATAATATTTTATATTAAATAACATATAACATGTATATTATCGATACAAATTCCATGTTAAATTTGGAATGAAGACAAATTCAAAGAGAGACTCTCCTTGCTCCCCTCTCCATTTTATAATGGATGGCTACGTTTGAATTCAAACCCGCCCCAAAGATTTGAATTCAAATACGATGAACCAGCTATGGTTTTCTTCTTCATTTTACAATAATTTTGATTCTAATATTCTATTATAGGTAATGATTGCCATTTAAATGAAGGGCCCCACAAGATTGATTCGAAAGACATCCAACTTGATGGGATTCTCTTAATTAAAATTTGTATTAATTTGAAAAATTGGTTGGTTTGAGAATATTAGGCGTGTAAACCGTATTCAAAAATCCGATTTTGAATTTGATATTCGATATAATCCAATCGAATTTGGACAATTCGAATATCTAATCAGTCAAATTCGGATATCCTATTTATACTGAATAGTTAATCGGATTTGAATTCGGATATGACCTGATTCCATTCGATAAATATTCGAATTTGATCGATTATTTAATTCTTATATATAATATATAAAATATTTTATATAATTTATATATTTATATTAATATCAATAAAATATTTATTAATTATCTAAAATAATTAATTAATCAAATTAAATATTCGAATATTTAATCGGATTCGAATTCGGATATTAATTTTCAATATCTGTCGGATATCAAATCGAATTCGGATATCGGATTTTCTAATCAGATTCAAATTTGGATATTGCCTTATCCGATTCAAATTCGACCTATTTGCACCCCTATTTGAGATCTCCAATTAACACATCAGTGATCTTTGTATAAATAAGGTTGATTGGAAGAGGTTTGTAAAGGTGCCACTTGGCAAGAAATTAGGACCACATAAGGAAATAAATCCATTAATTGAATTAAGCTAATCCTCCAATTAGTTAACCAAATTTTCCTTTTAACCAAATTGTTAATTAGGCATGATTGCCAATCAATTGAGCCCCAGAGAAAACCTCTCTAATTGATTTGAGAGAAAAAAAATATTCTGAAAATTCTGATTGCCATGAATGGCGGCCTATTTCAACGTGGCAAATGCTCATTGCCTCTACTCAGTTTGGTTTGTAGTGGACCCTACCCAATATACACTTGGGTTTGGATTTAATGGTACCTCCCCACGAATACATTAGAAAGCCCATTTTCTAGTTAAATTTCACATTGGGTCTCATCCAATACCTTTATCAGGCCCAATTTTTTGTTATATTTTTAGTAAACTCAATAGTTCTTTTTTATTCAATTTTATATTGGGTTCTTAGGCCCAAAATTTATATATCAACAAATATAAATTATACATGTCATATTATAATATTTATAAAATATATAATATAATATAATATAACATATATATATATATATATATATGTGGACCGGAATGAACTTAAAATATTAGACCTAGGCTCGGCCCTAAAATTTACAAACTTAATGCGAGCCTAGAATGGAAGGGTCTGAACACAAAACCCAGGCTCAAACCCAGAATTTCCGGGCTGGGCTGAAATTATCACCCCCTAATAACGTGTCATGCGCAAGAAACAACTAAGACATAAACATTGCCTTTTGCTGATTAAAGCCTCCAATCCCTGGCAAACCAAGACTTGATACTTGATATTAGACCCCTGAACTTTGTTGGTTCTCTGTTATATACAGTTGCTTCCTTTCACTCAGAAAAAAGGAAAAAAAAAAAAAAAAAGAAAGAGTAAAAAAAAAGGTCAATCTTTTCTCGGTCTACCCGTCTAACCGCCGTTGTATAGCTCATAGCTGCATGAAACAAGAGAAGATATTTTTGAAAAATTCTGAAACCTCCCTGGAATTGAAAACCAAAATTTCTAAAACCTCCCCCCAAATTCAATTACAGTTACAGGGGGGAAATGTTAGAAACTTGCAAGCGAGATTGAGTATTTATCCTCCTTTAATTAATCATTCTGTTAGTCTGTAGTCTGTACTCGCTAGTCGCTACTCGGTAGTGGAGAAGTATCCTCAGCCTTCCGTTGAAGATGACGACGACCGCTTTCGATCCTTCGCTGCTATTCTCCGTCGGTTCTTTCTCTTCCTCCTACGAATTCAAGGTTCGCTCCGGCGTTCGAGGAAGAAATCTATCTCCCATTAAATCTGGCGGCAGAGCCAACAAAGCCTCCTCTCTAACCACCACCATCACCACCACCAACAACAGCAACGATGATTCCAGTAAGTTATCTTCCTTTCCTAGTCTAGGTCCTTCTCATGTCTTTTCCCTAAAGTTCAATCTTTTCCAATTCAAGAGTATAGGATTGTTGACCAGTGGAATCTTTTCTGTTCTGGTTTGCTTGGAGTTCCTACATTGGTAAACGGTTAAACATCAAAGATGAACTACAAAGAAGCTTAGAAAACCCCTTTTGCGTCTCTGTCTGTTTATTCATTGTACTAGTTCGAATTTCAGGTGAAAGTGACTTTGGTGCTTTCGGTAGAAGAGGACTTATTCTTACAGCTACGCTGCCATTTATTCTTCGACTTCATAGCTCAACAAATGGGTTTGAAGCCCATGCCGCAGAGTAAGTTTAGTTGCACCCTTAAGAGTTGCCTCAAGAAGGTGTTTGTTGAACTTAGATGGATTTTATTTTGGAATTGGATTGAATGGTATATTTCTGCTTAATGCTGATTAGTGTATCCTTGGCTATCAAGTTGGGTCTTTGATCCAATTATTAATTATAATCTTAGATATATGTGTTGGATGCGCTGTGTAAAAATTATGATCAGTAAAATAGTATTTTCAATTCCCAAGCTGGGCCCTCCAATTAATGTTTCTGTTTTAATGAGCCAGTTTTGCATGATTTTGCATGTTGAACTCTGTATGTCTTGGATTTTAGATGTTTCTGCACAAACTGAAATGTCCCGTTTCTTAATGGACGTTGATGAGTGGTTGCCAGTGAATTTGCACTTATACGAGAAGAGGTGAGGAAGGTAGTGTCAACAGAAAGGGCTGCTGGTGTACTTAGACTGGCTTTTCATGATGCAGGAACCTTTGATATGGAAGAGAACTCAGGTATTTCCTTAGAGAATAGTCTATCGGAGAGGCTCTCTCTCTCTTTTCCCTGTTGTTTGTTCAGCGCCTATCAGAGGTGCTACTTCCTAGGAGAATTGGATGCCTTCCCCCACCCCCCCCAACAATGTGTGTGTGCTGTAGTTCAGCAAACCAAAATGCTATATACTAGCTTGATTAGGGGTTTCAATTATTTCGCTCAGGTATTTGATAAACAACAAGCTAAAAGTATGAGTCAAAGGTAAAGGCAAAGACATTTCTTTCCTGTTCTTATCATAATACTAAGTATCCAAGGAGTTAGGCTGCTAGCGTATTAATATTGATACATAAATTTGTCAGTTATGTTTTTATTCATCCCACTGTAGTTCTCTTACCAAAGCATTCTCAAATCTCAACCATTAAATCTAAGGCTCTAGTTCGATTATGAAAGATTAACAACAGCTGAGCTTGCTGAAACTAAAATTGGCCTGGTATTATTATCTCCCCCGTTAATATATCATGTAGTAAAACTATTCTTTTATGCTGATGAGACCTGAGCTTATTAAAAATAAGTGGACCATCTGGTTAATTCGTATGCTCCTTTTTAATATAATCACAGTTCAGAAATATTCTTCTTGCAGGTGGCATGAATGGTTCCATAATTTATGAACTTGACAGATTTGAAAATGCTGGTCTTAAAAAATCCTTGAAGGCATGCTCTCTCTCTCTCTCTCTAAGCCATCCAAGAGTACTTTAGGCTTGATGCTTTTCATTTCAGAAATTCCATAGATTTGGATTTGCTTAAGGCCTCGTTCATTTTCCAGAAAGTAGGGGTGGGCAAGTTGGTAGGCCCCACGGAAAAGAAATAAACCCACATCCTTTTTCTGGTATTAGTGCCTCCCGCAGAAAATAACGATTACCAAATGGCTCATTTACCTGGGGAAGTAATACCCCCCTCAAACTTGGGTAAATTACTTACCCATGCATGCCAAAAATCGCTAATGTGTGATGGGACAACATTATCCCTTCAATAATGTCACTTTTTTGGATACATTGGTCATTGCACACCTTTACCTAGGGAATAAAAGAACACTGGTAAGTGCTCTTATCCAGAAAAGTGTTTCCCAAGAAACACTTGCCTGGATAAGTGCATTTACCAAGACATGAACGATGCCTAAATGGTAGTCAACAACTTACCCCACCCACCCCCGCCCCCCCCTTTCAACCACTTGTGTTTGCTTGCATCAGTCTGTGGTAAACAGGTCACTACTTTGCTTATGGTTAACCATAAAGTTGACTAATTCTAAATTTACTCCTACTTACATCCAGATTGATCAATATTTATATGATATCCAATCAGCTAACCTCTCAGTGGGTGCATGTTGTTTAGATTGTAGAGAAGGCTAAGAGTGAATTGGACAAAATAAAACCAGGTTATTATGATCTAAACTGATAATTTACACGATTTATAACTTGCTAATAACTTAATTGATTTATACATGTAATGCATGCTAATATGGCTTGCTAACGCAATAGTTGGATTTTCCCTTATTAGTATCTTGGGCGGACATGATTGCTGTTAGTGGTGCTGAAGCAGTTTCAGTATGTGGAGGTCCCATCATTCCAGTTCAGCTAGGAAGGATGGATTCAATGTATGGAGCAGGTTTTGTATCTTATATCACAGTATTGACTTCACTTTAGGATTTAAACTGGAGACCTGACTTCATCTACTCAATTTGTTTTAGGATGGTTAGACAAGTAGCTCGTATGTACCCCAAAATTTTATACAAATCAAATTGAGTAGCAAGAGAAACTTGACCTAAACTTTCAAGTTAAAGTTTCCCAGCACAGTTATTGTTTATCCAATCTTTTAGGCATTTGAAAAGAATTGTTTGAATTGATAGGGTGCCTGATCCAGAAGGGAAGCTTCCTCTTGAAACTCTAGATGCTCCTGGTCTGAAACAATGTTTTCTAAGAAAAGGCTTCTGGTGAGTTCATTATTTTGGTGGCATCTGTCATATTTTCTCTTTTGCATAAATACTTTATGAGATTCAATTACCAGTCTTTACAGTTGCCTTTTTCATTATTGTGGCACAAAACAAGTTTGGCAAGTTATTTTGCTTTATCCTTCTAATATAACCTTGACTGGACTGCTAAATTGATTCTCCGACAATGTGGTCCTTCACCTTTTAATTTCTCAGAGTAGACTTCTATGGCATAATATCTCAAGTATAAAAATGATGAGATGATCCTATAGTATTGGAGGATCATGCATATTTCACCAAATGGGACTGCTCGGCTCCTCTTAGCAAAGACAAAACTAGTAGAAAAACCCTATTCCTTCTTTAGATATTGAAAAAATTTCACCTCTCCTGTGAGAAAACATAATACTCATATTATGAGTCGATCCACTGTGTAACATTAACACAATAGTTAGAAGTGGAAATTTGGCAACAACGGAATGGTTACAGAAAATATCTGTCACATTACATAGTCCAGGAAAAGATAATATAAACCTGGAAACCGAAATGCATGAATCAAGTATGTCATACTAAGTAATTAGTTGTTGACCAGGCAAAGATCAACTCATCTTCCTGATTTGTAAGCTGTATTTGGATGCACATAAAACAAGAAAAAAATGAATGTTTTCCTTTGAAAACGATATTCAATAAGAAAATGAATCATTTTCCTGGTACTTAGTTTAAATTGATAAACAAGCTGAGAAATGTATCAACGTGACTTTTGAATCAAGTTTCCTGAGGACCAACATTTTGTTTGGAAAATGTCTTATTGGAAAACTAAAAGGAATGCGATTTTCCTATATCTGCTTTTCACATTTTGGAGAATGCTTATTTTCCATGGACAATTTACATGCAACCAGACACTGAAATGGCAAGTTTTAGGAAAGCATCCATACATGCAACCAAATGGGGCTGCGATAAGCAATGCTTATTATCTCTTGCCTAGATAGTTATCAAAACATGTTTACTGCAACCCAAGTTTACAGTTTACACTGTCAAAAACTTGAAATTTGTTTTGGGCAACTTGAAGCAGAATGTAAGCCTATATTTAGAAATAGTTGGAAATCATTTTAGAAGCAAAATATGGACCTTTCCTAGAGGCTGGAACCAGATGATGGATAGAAGTTGTGTAAAACATATTATAGTTGCAGGAAAATTGTTTCTAGTGTAGAAGTGCATTTCTCAAGGATGCATTTTAAACAGAATAACAAGTTTGGCGAAACAGTTCAGGTAAAGACTTGGAAATGATGAAGAAATATAATTTTTCCTTGGCAGAAATTCCAAAAACCTTCTGGAAATGATGTCAAAGGGTCAAGTAAAACAGAACTGGAGCATGTTTGTGTAGATACATGCTTCCTTTCTTGAGATTCTCATATGTCTTCTTTCATATAAGTGTGTACCATCATCTGATTCTTTCTTGGTAGCAACAAGAACTTGTTGCACTGCTTTTGTGTATATATTTATTTCCTCTCTCGAGTTCTCATGGATGTTTTCTTTAGTAGTGTATGTAATCTTCTTATTCTTTCTTGGCAGCACACAAGAACTTGTTGCCTTGTCTGGGGCACATACTCTTGGAGGTAAAGGTTTTGGAAGTCCAACTGTTTTTGACAATTCATACTACAAAATACTTCTGGAGAAGCCATGGCTGTCTTCAGGTGAGAATGTGATGTTTTTTTATCCAAACACTTGTCCTTGGTACTTGAAAAGTTTTCAGATTCAAATAAACTATATAATTATCTAAGTCATAAAGTTTCTTATTGTTCATTGATATTCCAACTAAATTTTGAAGCTAAATAAATAAGGCATTTCATGCATGCTAGGTCTCTGTTGTGCTTTAGTTGATTGGTGAGGTGTTGCAAAGAGACCAAGATGATTGGGTGATCTTGATTACACTATCTTACTGTCTATCACATTATTTTTTATCACTAGAAAACCATTAGTACGACCATGAAAACGTGGTTCATTGATCCAATGAGTAGAACATCTCAGGGAAATTTCAGGTTTTTACCTTTAGAAAGGTAGGTTCTTAAATCTCTTTTGCTTTTGTGTACAACAAAGTCATGGATGAGAAAATCTCTTCACTAGTCCCTTGCTAATGCATAAGATTTTAAGAAATTCAGTTGTGGAGACTAGGTCCTGTTCTTGAAATTTAAAATCTTTCTTTTCTTGTATTTCTTTCCTTTTTTCATTTTTTGGTTACCAACATAATTTTTTGTACTTAAGCAATTTTTACAACTTGTGGTTTATTTGTTTAACCGTTTCCATGTGCAGCTGGCATGTCAAGTATGATTGGGCTACCATCAGATCATGCACTAGCTGAGGATGATGAATGCTTAAGGTTTATATCTCGTATTTAAGTCATGCCTTACCATGTGGATTATGAGTTACTATTATGGACAACCCCTCCTGTGTGCTGGAAATAACCTCAATGCCAACTTGAAAAGGATGGCAGATGACCCAGACTAACCAGGGAAAATATGTTTGGTGCTAAAAAGGGGCAGCCCAGTGCATGAGGCTCCCACCAATGCAGGGTCTGGGGAGGGACAGATGTATGTAGCCTTACCCCTGCACATACAGAGAAAAATTCACTATGAATTTCTCCTTTTTCATCAGCTTAACTTGGGACATGTTACGTTCTCTCCTTTCATGTAGATAACACACGTGCACTCCTTGCATGCACAGGTGGATCACCATATATGCAAATGATCAGAAAAGGTTCTTTGAGGATTTCAAGAATGCCTATGTTAAACTAGTGAATTCTGGAGCAAGATGGAAAAGTGTTTAAGAATTTGTTACAAGTAGTAAAGGTAATCATTATTTTTTCTTGGTCAGATTTCCTAGCTGTAAAATTAATGCACTTGGTCATGGTTTCAATTGACCATTGGTATGAGGGCCAAAAAGGTGGTCCATTTTATTACATGGGTAAGAACATTACCATGAGTTTTATGTTGGTATAATGGTACGTTCTTACAAGCCCTTGCAATTTTGTGTCTGGCAAAAGGCAGGGAGAATAGTTTCTTCATTAATTCCTCATTTATGCACATTATTTTTGTGTGACACCAACTCAAAGACTCGTTGAGATTAGTCATATTTTGATTCTGGTCGATGCATTCTTTTTTAGTTTGCAACATAGTCTTTAGTTCCTCGGCAATTTATCGAAGTCAGAGTTTCTTTGTTTCTTTTGTTTTGTCTATTATGTCCTCATGATCATCTGCAATTCACAGCAGCTGGAATGTCAAGATTGAGCAACCAATAGATCATGCACTGGCTGAGGCTGTTGAAGTTATGGTTCTTTGTTCTCTCTTTCCTGTATTCTAACCAGATATGATGTCTCAATATGTGGATTACGAATTATGACCATGGTCTATCACGCCTGGGTACTGCCAGTAAGCTTTATGGAAAACCTGAAAATGGATGGCACATGACCTACACTTAATAGGCAAATCTTCATAGGCAGTTAGGCTGATTTTATAGTTTCCCATGAATATTCTGCTATTCATCAGCAGAACTTTGGGCCTGATAAATCTCTCCTTTGGTGTGTGCTTAAGATGGATATACTCCTTGTGTGCAGGTGGTTTGCAACATATGCAAAGGATTGAAAAAAAAAAAAGGATCCTTTGAAGATTTCAAGAACCACTATACTAAACTGGTGATCTTTGGTGCAAGATGGAAAAAATGTTTAAGAATTTGCTACAAGTGCAGTATAGAAGTAAGCATTCTTTCTTCTTGATCAGATTTACCATTTGAATGTAAAGAATAGGAAAATCTAGAAATGCTTTTATTGGCATACTTTTTATTTACTACACTAGTCGGTATCCTAACTGTCAAACCAATGGAATTGATTGTGGTTTTACTGGACCACTGCCACTGAATTATGAGTATTCCTGTGAATTATTGATGAAGATCATTCACTTGATGCAAGTTTCTGGCCAGGACTGATCAAGTTAATGGTCCATAATTTGGACCATTTGATATGATAGGTATGGTTAGATTGGACAAGTTGAGTTGATGGGTGTGGTCCGTGTGGACTGCAATATTTTAGCAATTATCTGCCTAATCTTATTCTTGTATTAGGAGAAAAAATGCATAAAATCAGTATGTCCAGTTTGGACTGTAGCTTTGCAAAACTGGATTAATCGATTTGCATCTTGACTCTGTCATAATCCTTGTGGTCCGGAGATGGGCAAGGTTGGGAGCTTTCCCACGTGAGAATCTGTCTGACACATGCAAGGAAGAGCAGAGAGTATGTATTACTGCCAATAGATAATTTTGCTTCTTTCCAGCATCACTACAGTCAAAGAGGGTCCTTGTCGGTATCTTCTTCTGTGAAACAAGGAGTCAAGGACTGGGGAGGTTTGTGTCGTTCATCTATCCCTTGTACACAGAATGAAGAACGTGCAATCTCTTTTCACCCTGTGTTTGGTAAGGCCCATTTAGAATGTGTTGCCAAGCGATTCTCTTTTCTTTGTTTTGTTCTGAAGGTCTGTCCCTTGACTCAAACCAGTATCGCTAGCATTTCTGAGAGAGAGAGAGAGCTTGAAAATTGACAAAGGATCAGGGTTCCATTATTCAATGGATTCCACCTTGAAGATTATCTGGGCCAAAAAGCAGCTTGAATTTATATACAAATTGTTTATTTTTAACTGAAATAGGTGGATGGTGGTGAAAAATTCTGATTGTACTCTCTGAAAGATATGAAAATGAAGCGTGAATCAGACAATCTAAAGACATTTGATTATGCTTTTTTTTTATGTAAATCCCCTATTGGAAGGGACCCATCAATTATGAGTCCTCTTCTTGGTACCTACCAAATGGTAAGTTAAGATACTTTTCGGAAAAAAAAAAGGAGTTATGAGGACTCCAGATCGCATCTAGCAGCGATTGCTCTATGTCTACAGCCTGGAACCAATCCCAAGGCTGGGCTTTTGAATTTTTATAAATAAACACGCAGAAGGTGGAAAGAGTTGGGAACAAGCAAGCATTTTTAAAGTAATTTACGTGAGGAAGAACAATCTTTAGCTCATCCGTCAACAGAATAAATAAATAGAGAGAGAGATGAGAATGATCCTTAAAATCTCTCTTTATATATATAATGAGAATTTTTCAAATTAAAGGGTCACAGGTTGCTGGTTCGACCATCTGGGTTGGATGGATCAAACTGTGGCACATCAACAATTCAGCATGTAATTATATGTATGTACGATATATATTTTTATTTGTTTTTAATTTTTTTTATAAAAATGCTAAAAATTGAGATTTAAGACAAGTTTTTTTTTGGCAAAAATAGCATGGTAAGACATCTTGGGAATGCATAGGTCTCCAAAAGTTATCCACAATCAATATAAAGATAATCCAATCAAGCAACTGAATTTCAAAGTTGTGATCTCCAAAAATTTATATATACTTAATCAGGTGAAACATGTCAATGATTCAACTGCTCAGGTCAACAATTTTTGGTCAACCTAGATTTAAAAGAGAAAAAAAAAAAAAAAAACAGATCTGGAATTATGATCGGGTGACGTTTTGATCGATTTGACCAACCGGATCAACCACGGGTTAGAAAACACCGGTTAAGGCTAACAAGTAATAAAGCTGTTTATGCAGAAAGAATGCCGACTTGGGCGCTCCCAGGAAAGAAACAAAAGTTTTTGGAACCCTGTTTAAAGTTTACTAGGCTACTGGCCGAGGAGGCCCAGGCGAGAAGACTGTCAATTGGTAGATTATCTATGTTTAACTAATCAAATTGTTATATATTTTTATGAAGTATAAAAATATGCATTTATTAAAAAAAAATCTATATATTTTTTATTGAAAAGATCATTTGATTGGAACGATTGACCAAGAGGAAACCCCCCCCTGCCAAGATCACTTCACACTTCTGAGTTCTGATCCAGGACTGTGTGTTGATCGGGTGGAACCGAATATCATTGAAATCCAAAGTTGATCCATTAAAACATTCGGATCACAATCATATAATATAATGTATCAACTCAATCACATTTCTATGAGGCCAAAACATAAATAATAAAATAACAAACATCCTTTTGATTCATTCAATATAAGAGTTGATTGCTGTATAAACTCTCCCTCCTCTATTATGTACACCAAGCATTTTCACTCAGACGAATCGCAATCAGGTACAACCATTTTTCAAATAACAGTAAGAAATCAAGAAGCAAATTAACACCGTAACATGGGACATTGGGATGTGAACCACAGCCAAGCCAAAGTACCTGCCAGACGGATATCCTCACCATTAGCTAACTCTCAATCTATTAAGGCTGAAGTTAAGAAAAATCTAGATGATGGCTGAGGAATATTGTCTGGTAACTTACCAAATAGGTGCCCGTGGGATCGACAGTTCAAGAAAAGGATTATGACTTACCAACAGCCTTGTATGCAATGCATGCACCCCATTAACTGTGAAAAAGTCACCAACATTAGGTAAAGCATAGTACAAGAAAGAAAGATGAGATAGCTAAAAACTGTCAAATTCAGAAAAAGAAAATAAAGCAAAAACCACCAATGCAGATATAATTTCCACAAGCAGGGCAAAGAAAAGACGGGAGGAAAGAGGATCTTTCCAAGCTTGTGTTTCATGAGAGTCATGGTACAAAATTGGGATTTTCTAAAATAAAGCCCATATTCATATATACTGTAAGGTGTTACCAATCCAACCATTGTACCTGGGAGTCCAAGATTATGTAGCAGTTTGTTTAGATCCCAAGTTCTCTTATTGACTTGAAAGAAATACAAATTGAGAAGGATGCCTTTGTTTAACCAAAACACAACCAAACTCGATTGAAAAGGGAAAAATAAAAGCAAGAGGAGAGAGAAAAATCATATGGTTGAAGCTAGTTAGTTGACTAGTTTACCCCAATGAGCAATCAATTTCCTTTATAAAAAATGATCCTTCATTAAGAATTGTTTATTTATGAATGTTCAATAATAAATAATATAGTAAATTAAATGTAGAATATGTTGTAAATGCTTAAGACCTCTTTTAATTTCTGCCGAAATGGCATACATATTTGTATTCGAAAGGGTGGAAAAACAGATGATCAATCTATATTGGTTTATATATGCTATAATGTACAACAGAAAAAAAAAAAGAAAAAACACTTAGTTCAGTGTAAATACTAACAGTGTTTCTTAAAATAGTTGAAAGGAGAAGAATCTCACCAGGTTTAGGCCAAAATGCTGGATTGACAAGAATGGGAGTATGACAAACCAAAATACAATATCTGTAAGAATCACAGGACCTCCGCAGGTCTGTTCAAAAAGATGATTTTATTGGTCAAGTAGGGAGCTTCCCTATGTTCTGTGACATGGAGGGGATCCTACAACTGATCAAGATCATCCATCAGATAAGAGAACTTCATGATTAGCTCTGTTTTAATCCCCTTGTCCATGCATATCCAACATGTTGAATTGATAATAGCCCTTAAATTTAATCTTTTAAGCTAAAAGTTTGCAATAAAAAATGACTTATTCTGGGAAAAAAAAAACAGCTAGATCTTTTGGGTTACCTAAACCACCACCAATGTTCAAGAATTGAATATCAAAGACTTCAGCTTGGATTTGGTAAATGCAGTTCACTTCACTGTGAGGACGGTAAAATACTTTAATATGTTAACCTGAAAACAAAATGAAATAGCAGAGAGGTTACTATTGCAATGAGCAAAAGAAATTAAAAAAAAAAAAAAAAGGTCTACACATGTAGCATTCATAGGAGTGCAACTTGGGTTGGCCTGGATTTAGCATAGGATCCAGTTAAAACTCTTTAGCTATGTATGGTACTTAAATCTGCATCAAAACTAGATTTGTCATATTAAAGCAAATGCATTCACCAATTAACCAACTGTACCTCTTTTTGCATTGTTCATTTGTTCGTAACTGTCACTGAGCAGTTTTCCCTATCAAATTTGTTGTTTAAGATAGGGGAAGTGTTTCAACATCTTTTATACATCCATGGTTTAGAAATAAACAGTTAGTTAAGAATTTTTTTTTATTAATGGTTTCTAGTTGAATTAGGCTCGTTGAAGATCTCAATAGTTCAACCTAATTCAGGTTGGATGAGGAACGTATGTGCTGAATGCCAATCCTAAGTAATAGAACTTGGGGACCCAAATCCAATTTTCCTACCCTAACCCCAAACCTGAATTTAAAACATTTAAAAAAAAAACTAAACTAAATACTTAGAAAAATTTAAAAAAAAAAGAACCTAAACTAATGATCGTAGCAACAGGATTCTTAAAGTCAAAATTCAAAAAAACTTTTTTTAAACCGGATCAGAATAGAATGTAGCTGGATTCAATCCAAATCCAACCCAATTACAGCCCTAAGAGTAAGATGCAACCCAATTACAGCCCTAGTAGTAAGATGCAACCCAATTACAGCCCTAGGGAGAAGTACAAGAACATGAACTCGCATGCAACACAAAGCATAAAAAGGTAAAAGCATCAACCTAAGAGTAAGATGGAACCCAAGAACCAGAAAAGGAACAACCAAGTCAAACAGGTTCAGAGCTTATACTTGCTGCAATGCTTAAGCTTCTTCCGCTTGCTGCTGCTTTCATCTACCCGGGTCTCCGGAACTGTATAATCTCGTAAAGGGTGATACTTCAATAATTGCAGCTGTTCCTTTGCTGCATCAAGCCTCTGATTCTCAACTCTATAAGCCTTATCATACACCTTGATCTGTTGCCTACATAGTTTTACTTCCATTTCTAGAGCAGTGATACGAGAATCAACAGGCACAGAAGTTTGCCCAACTATCTGTTTTTGCCAACCACGGATGATATGTGGCTGCCACACATTCAAGGCTACTGCAGCTTGCCTTGCCTTCTCCAGATTTTTCAATTCTGCCAGTGTTGCTTTCATCTTTTCATTCTCTTGTAAAGATCGATTCCGGATATCTCGAAGATTTGCGGAACAAACAGCAATTTGGCTTTCTACTCTAAGAACCGCACGGCGATGGGCTGCCAGCATACGTGCTTTGTCTCTCTCAAACCTGGTCCTGTAAAGCTCTTTAAGAGAAGATGTGGGAGGTTCAAGTGATGAAGGATCATTATAATTTCTGGAGCGAAAATCTAGGGTTAGCAAAGTGGACCATAAGGAGTCTTCATTGGCTAATCTGTTGAGGCGTCTGCAAGTGATTGAGATGCAGCAGAGGCCCCTGTAACCGAAATACGACTTAGTCATGCCCATCTCCAAGATTCTTCTCCACATCTCGTCTGGCAAAACCGACATGGTTTCTCGCCAAAAAAATGGTATGTCAACCGAATTGTGAAAGGAAGAACTATTATAAAACCCTAAAATCGAATCCCAGTATTAGAATTTGAGACCCAGATCTGGGTGAAACTTCGAGACGGAGTGGATGTCGGTTTCTTCGATTATCCAACGCTAAAGCCAAACTTCAGCCAACCGTTTGGGAGAGCTGAAGCTCAGCGGCATCTCGCTTTACGACACGTTATGTTTGGTGAAAATACGAGAGTTCATTTCATATATGAGACCAGATCTGCTCCTCACACCTGGCGCTTCATAGGCGCCTCACACGCACATCGGAAATATTTCCCATACTTATTTGTTATCATTGTTCTCAATGCACGGTGTGTGAGGCGCCCAATTGTGAGGAGCAGATCCAGTCACTTCGGGATTATGTGCTTTAGGGCTTTAAAAGCAAAACCTTAAAACTTATTCAAATGCAAGATTTTATGATGCAAAAAGACATGGTATAGCTTTGATGAATTAAAATTCATTCGTAAATTTTGATAAATAACACGTTGTTTTCTGGGTTTCTATCATATAGGGGCAACCTTTGTGGTTTAATATCAATAAAAGCAATATAATTAAAAAAGATTCAAAAATAGATTAACTTTTTAAAAATAATATTAATAAAGGATAAAAATATTGTTCATCTTCTTCTTCTTGCCCTTTGTTCATCAGAGCCACCGCCCGCCGCCTCTGCCTTTGCTTTTGATAACATTGCCGGAGGTGGCAGTGGCGGCGACAGCAACGATGCTAGTGGTTTCTCTGTCCAACACCGCCACTTCCGGCCACCTCTGCCTCCGGTCACCTCCGGCAACGTTGCCAGAGGCGGAGGCAGAGATGGACGGAGGTGGATGGAGGCGGCGATGGGTGACAGCGGATGGCGGTGGCGGGTGGTGGCGGACGGCGACTCTAGTGAACAAATGGTAAGAAGAAGAAGATGAACATTGTTTTTGCCCTTTATTGATATTATTTTTAAAAAGTTAACCTATTTTTGAATTTTTTTTAAATACATTACTTTTATTGATATTAAACCCCAAAAGTTACCCTTATATGCTATTACCCTATTAGGGATGGAACTTTTCCTCAAGATCGCATTCTGTTCACTCATGGGTAAACATGTTATTTCATTCGTCTTAATTGCGAATTAATGGAAACTTTCTTTGTTACCAATCATTCGATTGGTTGAGCTGCCCATTTTTTATTCTTCTTCTCATTTTTTACTCTCCTCCATCGAATCCAAGCATCCATCGACGACTCACTGCACATTGGTGTCATGAATGCATAAGCCACCGACAACAGGAAAAAATCCACCATTCCCCGACTCACCCTCCCCTCCATTATCCCTTCTAATACTCGTCCATTCTTCTGAAAGACTCTGTCAAGTTTTTGTCGGGAGCTGTTCCAATTCGACACATTCTCTATATTTATTAGAAATAATGCATAAGGAGAAGTTGGAGAGAGACAGAGAAATAAAGTTTAGGAAGAGCCTAAGCAATCAGATCGAGGAGACGTAGCTTGAGTGAAGAGATTAATTTCTTTGGTACAACGAATTGAAGAAGCATTTGAATATAATTAGTCCAAAATGATTTCACCTCTCTAAATCAATAATGCTAATGACATCTTCAAATCAATCAAAAACATATTAACAGGCGTTTTATATTTTGAGGGAGGGAGTTGAATTACAGTGGAGTACTACAAAATCACATGGTGGTGATACTGATTGCAGCAACAGCCGTGTCGTGCCTTCCTATCTCACCATTGCTCCTTTCTTCTCTGCCAATGCCCCTATCATGATCTTCTCGTACCCGCCATTGCCACCGCCACCACCTCTAGCTGCCACATACACCACCAGCGCCGCCTGAACTGGCCCCAGGCTTGGATTATACGCTATCGATTCCACATACAACCCTTTGTAAACCTTCCATTTGGTGTCCATTAGCATACTTCAGTTTCTTGTTATAATCCAATACAACTCTGTCTTTGCTATAGCATCGATTGGCCTCACCATTAATCTTAATGACACCGTTGTTGTGGTCGTCATCGCTGAAGGTCAGGCCGTCGTGATGGGGCTCCAGAAGTAATGGCACATCTTTGTCAAGTAAATCGTCGGGACCGAATCGCTAGGGCAGGAAATGTAACCGAATCTCTGGGGCAACGTCTCTTATCAAACGGGATAATGGAGGGGAGGGAGAGCGGGGGGACAATGGATTTTTTTCTGTTGCCGGTGGCTTATGCGTTTACGATGCCAGTGTGCAGTGAGTCTACGATGGATGCTTGGGTTTAGTGGAGGAGAGTCAAAAATGGGAAGGAGAGTAAAAAATGGCCAGTTCAACCAGCTGAATGACCAGTAATGGAAAAAATTTCTGTTAATTTGCAGTTAAGATGGATGAGATAACGTGTTCATCTCTCATTAGAGGATGCACCCGTTCAGTGCACCCATGGGTGCACAGAACGCGGATTCCTTTTCCCCGTAAAACATTATATCTTAATAAGTTCTCTGGTATTCTAAGATTATTATTTATTCCCCAACATCTAGTTAATAAAAGGGCTTAACTACCGTTTTGGTTTAGCAACTATTTGTATAATCACTTACTTTGTATTTGGTTTGAAGGAAAATGTAGGAAAACCTATACAAGGTTTGCTCTGACTTTTGATTTCTAACAATTCTGCTCCGTCTATGTTAAATCTTCTCCCAACTACAATTCTAACGTTGGTTTCTGGTCTCACTCGAGGAAACCACTCACCCCTCTTCAATGATAAAAAGAAAAGAGAAACCCAGTACTATCCACCATAACTCTCCATTGTTCAATTAAATACAGTTTAATTGCTGTAACAGTTAATAGTTCAGGTGGGATTCATTGCCTAACAGTTTATCATTTAAGTTATTCTCCATTCTATCATATTTTCCTAGAAAAATGGCATAATCTCCTCTGGTTGTGCTTGTTAGCTTTGAAACAAAACAAATAAAATAAGAAAAACACTTTGTTAGTGCTGTGAATGGTGGACCGAAGGGTCCACCGAATGAAGTGCGAAGATCTCGAAAGGATGAATCAGCCTCAAGGGAATAGGGCGAGAGGAGGAATGTTTACAGCAGCTGGCTTCTTGTCTGAACAGTAATTACTCGACCAATTCCCAAAATGAAACATATTAGATCATCGAACCAGCAATTAGGAATTGGAAAATAATTTCTTTTTTTTTTCTGAAAATCAACCCTCAATCATAAAATCAACCCATTGTTTCAACAACCCAAGCTGGTGGTTCCAATTCTATTATTTGCAACCCTAGCAGCTCAAGAGGCTGATGATTCAAACCCGATTTTTATAGATCGAGACCCTGAAATCTTCTCAGTCATTTCTGTTCTCCAGTCTAATTGGCTTCCTTCAACTGCTTGTTAATTCTCCAAACAAGGTACTTGTGGGAAGTTGCTAAAATGAGTTGAGGTCGAGCCATAGATTTGTCGGCAGGAGCAAAAGCCTATTATCGTAATCTGTAATACTGCACTTTGTCAAATTTAAATGGCACAATGTCAGTTTTCTTCACAATGTTACATTTTAAAAATTTGAAGAAAAACAGTAGTTTAAGTTATTGTCTATTTGTTAAATCGTAGGGATAGTTTTAAGTATTTAACCCTTAATAAAATAGAACCATCCATTTGCCTATGGTGGAAAGAGAAGATAAAAAGGATTTGGGGAGACTCAAACAAGAGCAACCAGGATGCCAACAAGTCTCTAATCAAACCAGTATGTCAAGACCAAGAAGTTGTGCATTTTATTAGTAAAGCTTGGAACATGCAATGCCCAGAAAAAATTGAAGTATTTGTGTGGCTTCTATTGTTAGATAAACTTCCAAACAAAATGAACCTCACCAAAAGAGGTATGCAAACCCCCATCAGATTGCCCTTTCTAAGGAGAACCTGAGGATGAGATCACCAATATGGTAAAACAAGTGTGGAATTTGAGTGAACCCAACTTAGCTCTCACCACCATGGATCTGAAATGGGATTTCAAAAACTGGTGGAAAGCATAATGGAGTTTAAAAAGGATTCTATGGATTCTTTGGATTTGGAGAGGATTAGTTTCACTCTATGGCTAGAAATTTTCAAAATAAGAGCTCACCACCTCGGAGGTGGTAAAAAGAGCAAAAGAAAGTTTGAAGGAATTTATTGAAGCCAGTAGCCATCTGATCTTCCAAAAGCTCAGAAAGCTTTAGCCTGGATAAAATGGGATCCTCCTCCAAATAGATGCTATCAAAATGAATTTTGACACTCCTCGTGTGGAGGAGGGTACCTCTGCTTTTGGTTGTATGGTAAGAGACATTACAGGTAAAATTCTATTAGCAAAAATGGGGCACATTGGACAGATTTCAATCATAGTAGTTGATGAAGTATGGGCTGCGTTGGAAGTCCATAAACTCGCACAACGATTCTATCATGCCCACATTATCATCAAAGGTGACTCTCTGGTTGTAGTTAAAGCTCTTCAACAAAAGTTCAGTTCGTCATGGAGGTGCATACTTCTAGCTTGAGGACTGCCGAGCCATTGCTGAAAGCATCCCCCTTGGACTCAAGTATGTTCACTCTTACAGAAAGTAGCTGACTGAAATTTGGGTTAGTTGAACGCGATGGCTGTTCAGGGGTCTGTGGAACCAATGATGAGGTTCCATGCTTTATGGGCCTCACTATAAAAAGTGCAGTCCCCATGTATTTAAATACTGGCGTGGAACCTTATCATTGGTTCCACAGCCTGCTGAACAGCCATGTTCAGCCAAACCTTGCACATCTGACTGGTTAGTTAGGCAAGGGCAGCAAAAACATGAAGTTCTCATGCCCCCTAGGAGCTACGCTATATATATCTCTCTTCTCGATTTGGCTGGTATATCTCTCCTGCGTCTTGTTTGGTTTGTCCTATTTATAAAAGAAAAAAAAAAAAAAAACAGGGGGGCCTGCCTGGGTTTAGCCGAGCACTTTAGCTATTCAGCGGGCTGTGGAACCAATGATGAAGTATCATATCAGTATTTAAATACATGGACCCGCATCTTTACAGTAGGGCCTATGAATTTATTACTAGCATGGAACCTCATCATTGGTTCCACAGCAGCTAATGCATTCAACTAATCCAAATTTGACTTGCCCCCTGTGTAAATGGACTGGGTTTTCCTGATATTAAATGGGTACAAGGGGGGGATGGAAAATCGGGGATAGATTGGCATATAATTTTC